TCGCCTATTTTTCATTTTTGGCAATGAAATGTTCTCATCTCCAAATGTTACATTTTTCGTCCTCTATAACATCAATTTCATCACCAAAACTAAATAATATTTTATTTTAATTAGTTTTGGCGACGAAATATTTCGTCACCAAATAGATTTTAGTGACGAAAGTTTTTCTCACCAATGATATGGATTAAGGTGACAAAAAAATTCGTCACTAAAATGAGCAGAAAAGCAAATTCTTCAATGACAAAAAATATTTTGTCACCAAATATTTCAATTTAGCGACGAAATATTCCGTAAATGTGACGAAATTATTTGTTTGGTACTATATCATTAGTGACAAAATTATTCGTCATATTTTTTGAAAACTAATAGCGGCATTTTTTATTTCGTCGCTAATAAAAATTAAAAAATTTGAAAATGGGGTTCCTATTTTTGAATTAAATTTAACCTGTTCATCGAAAAATTCCCTGTGCATTTCAATAACCTGTTTAATAAAATATCTATTACAAATCAATACAAAAATCTGTTCATTTTCATAAACATCACAATCGAATTTCAGCACTATCCACAAAAATACAATATGAACTGCATGCGAATTATAAACATGTCTCCTAATATCCATAAAAAACATGTCTACTAATATCCACAAAAATATAATATCAACCACATGCGGATTACCAAACACATCTCCTAATATCCACAAAAAATATGACTACTACTATTAACAAAAATAAAATATCGAGTGCGGATTACCAAACATGTCCTGTACTACCAACAAAAATATAAAATTTACAACGCAACCAAAATACATGTAAGGTAATATGAACAAAAACACAAAATGAGCTAGCTTCTGCTTTCCAAATTACCAAGCATGTCCATATCAAATCTCGAATCTGCAAAAAAATCAAACACAAAAAAAAAAAAAAGAATGCAAGTTAGACAATTTTATTACCTTATCAATAAAATATAGAATTTAACATGCATTTTTCGACTTAGTTTTCAAATCGGGAGTCTGGTGCTAGTTCCGTAAGTTTTCACAACTTCTATTGGTCCCTCCCGAGGTGTTTGAGGTGTTCCCCGGGCCGTCCCGGGCCTGTTATACGATTTTGGGCCCCGATGGCCTATTTTCATGGTTAAGTGTGAAAAAATACATTTTTGGACTTAGTTTTTGAACCAGGAGTCCCGTGCTAGTTTCATAAGTTTTCACAACTCACATTGGTCCCTCGTGAGGTGTTTGAGGTGTTCCCTGGGCCGTCTCATGGCTGTTACACGATTTTGGCCTCCGATGACCTATTTTCAAGCTTAAGTGTGAAAAAGTGCATTTTTTTACTTAGTTTTCGAACCGGGAGTCCCGTGCTAGTTCCGTAAGTTTTCACAACTTACTTTGGTCCCTCTCGAGGTGTTTGAGATGTTACCTAGGCTATCTCGTGGCTGTTACACAATTTTGGCCCCCGAAAGCCTATTTTCAAGCTTAAGTGTGAAAAGTGCATTTTTGGACTTAGTTTTCAAGCCGAGAGTCTCATGCTAGTTCCGTAAGTTTCCATAACTCACATTGGTCCCTCCTGAGGTGTTTGAGGTGTTACCCGGGCCGTCTCATGAGTGTTGCACGATTTTGGCCTTCGATGGCCTATTTTCAAGCTTAAGTGTGAAAAAGTGCATTTTTTGACTTAGTTTTCGAACCGGGAGTCACGTGCTAGTTCGACAACATACTTATAACACTACCACATACTTATAACACTACCACATCCCATGATTCGAAATATCACCGTTTCCAGTAGAAGTATCTTTCCATAGAATGGATGATTAATCAACTACTGTTCTGAAGACTTTAATAGTTCCAACATCCACAAGAAGGTAGATTCTGGCAAAAAATGTGCACTTATTGATAGAGCTCACGAGTGGATGGTTCTCACACTCCACAGTTGCTGTTCCAAAGATCAATTTCGATGATAATATTTAGCCATTATTGTAGAGACCCTAATTTTTGTAATTACCATTAAATCCCTAACCTTCAGTTTATTTCAATAAAGTCCTTGAATTTTCATTTAATTGCGTTTTAAACCCTAGAATCGGAAAGCATCGCGGATTAATTCAAGTAAACCCTAATCGATCCCAGTAGATTAATAATCACCTTTAAAACCGTATTATTAATTATTAGACCCCATAATTATAGATTCATCACTTTAAAATCTTAATTCCCAGTAACGTCGTTTTTGCTCGGTTTCTCGCCTTTGTTTGCGCTTTAATTTAACAAGATTCAAATTTATTATTTTAACTATTTTCTAAGGCTAGTATATTGTATGCTAAATGTCAAGGTTTCATAAATTTAGACTTGGTCCCTATATACTTTTATTTTATTTCATTCCAACCCTTAATTGTAATATTTTATTAATTAATGTACTTGTATTATATTATGTTTATAAATACAAATATCTCATACAAATAATATATATATATATATATATATGTCTTGGAGCCCAAGTTGTTGATCATGTGATGGATGAAAGGGCCATAATGGCAACTTTGATAATTTGCACTTAGGGAACTTAGTCCCCAAGAAACCTTCCCAATCTTTTCTCTATATATATATGCACACTTCTCCCCCTTATGATATACATTTTTAGCCATTCACTAGAGGAGTGAGAGAGAGTGATCTTGGAAAAAAAAGAGAGAGGGAGAGAGTGAGACAGAAGAGAAGAAGAAAAGGAAGAATTGTGTTGAGTCTTGTACAACAAAGGTAAACATACAACATCTCTTCTCTCAAGTTCTCTTACCACTTGTTTTTCCCCTCCTAATACATGCTCTTTGTATATATATGTTGTAGTCTAGGCCTACACTCTTGTATAAGTGTGTATTAATCAAGAAATGGTATGCTTCACTTTCTTTCTTAAATTTCCAGCAGCAAATCATTTCCTTCTCTTGAATTTATTTTCCTATCAAAACTCCATAAACTCAAAATCTGTTTTTATGGTGCAATATTTGGTATGTCTAGAGTATGTGATAATTTTGGTAGGGCCTAAAGATGTATCTTTAACACCTAAACAATTCTTATAAGTTTGTTAACCAGAAAAATAGTCCACTTTCTCTATTTTTATAAAATTCTAGAAAATTAATCTTGAGCCCAATTTTATGTCAAAATCTTAATCTTGGTGTTATATTTTAACTAAAATTTGTTTGAACTCAAGAGAGTGAGGGGTTTGAGAGAAAAACCGATTTGCGTAACGGTCAACGAATCTGGACAGATCTTGGTAATTCTGAATTATCTTAAAATATAAAATACCTATCCTACTTTCGTAAATTGAGTTTGAAACTAGACTTATTTATCTACAAACTCACATGAGGCCAGGTACTTAGGGCCAATAAAAGTATTTTTTTCAAAATTATTTTCAAACTGGTTCAAAATCTGGAAATTTGGAAATTTGTGTTAATATGTTCTTATTTGGCTTGCAACTCTTATATTCTATGTTTCTTGAATGCCTTAGTCTTGATATGTAATCTGTGATAAATTGTAAATTTACTTTACCATGAATAAATTACTTGTTGTTCAGTTTGGATTCGTAATTATACTAACCATGCTTTGCTATAACTGAGAACATAATGCACTTAACAACATAATGCACTTAATAAAGGAGAAATCAAGTGGGATGGTAATGGGTTGCGATCATTGTATTAAATTTTATGAGATAATGAACGATGAATTCAAGAGTATGATAGAGTGGAATGTGTTCCATTTTTGTGAAGTCTTGCACAAGTGTGTTTTCGAACCCTAACATAGCACGGGAGGTATTCTGGTTGCTTAACGGAAATGGGAGGCATAAGGGTGGCAGTGAGGGTCTCACACAGGGAGAGTATCCCTGGAAGCCCGTTTCCTTGGGGCAGACCGTGATGTCACCACTTGGGTAGGTAACCTAGGTGTGTGGGCATCATTGGTAATTGTACGGTAAGCGACGCATTGGTATTGTATTAACCAAGGGGGAGTCAGAATTGCCCGTGGCCAGAGTTAGTGGTTGGCTAGGAACGGCATTTCGCGAGGAGTTGCCTAGAACTAACTAAAAGTGACTATTATTCATGAGAACTGAAATTTAATTATAAGCTCTGCTTAATTATTGCTTTCATTGTACGTTATGACCATGCCGTTATGTTTTTGTGTATTTGGAATGGGAAAAGGGTCGGGGTGTGTGTGTGTTTACTGGGCATTCCAAGCTCATGGCGTTTTATGCTAGGTGAAGGCGAGTTTTACACCAAGAACAGAATCCCTAAAAGCTTTGTGGAACTGTGGCTGCCTTAGAAATTAGATTGTATATTTCCTGTATTTTGGATAATCTTTTTGTATCAAGGAACCGATATATATTTATAGACTTGAAGAACTTTATCTGTAACTATTATTAATATTTTATTTTAGTGTAATTATTTGTATTTTGTGCTTAAAACTGATGTGTATCCTCTAGTTAAACCCCGGTGCATCGTTGTATTATATTATCAAATTTTGGGGCGTCACAACTTGGTATTAGAGCTTAGGTTCAACCCTTACCCACGCATTCGACTTGCGATTAGAAACAACCTTGCCACCAACTATATTACATTATGATAACACTACTTAGTCTAGAGACAAGAAGATGTCAAAAATTAAAATTTTCTCAACCAACCCTAGGACGTTTCTTTGAATTTCGGGCATGGCAACGTCGATTCGTGAAAGCATGTAGCCGGGCATCGACGATTCTACTATTGGTACCAGGTGCTGAAGAAAGCCTTTTAGACAAGGGTAGTGGAACTAGAATTTCATAATAAAGAAAGGAAAGGTTAGATTCAATCAGCGAACCGAAACATGAAGTTGCCTAGAGCGATCGAGAGTGGTGATAGAGTCGATGGTTGAGTAAGACTACCTTAGGTGCTTATTAAGTGTTACTTGGATTATGTTTCGAGTAGAGCATTTCACTTTAGTAATTTCCTTGACTAACCGCATTAACAAAACTCTAACCTGCACTTAACTGCACATTTGGTAGATGGTGAACCATACAAGAGCAAACAAATACATAGGCAACAATAACGCCACCAACCACAATGATGATGCCAATATAAATAGGAATGCAGCACCTAGGGTCAACAATGACAATCACGCGCCTACATCCGCTGCCAACTTACCCGAGAATGTTGGAAATCAAATTTTGGAAGAATTAGGAAGGCTGAGGAAAATGCGTCAGAATGAGAGGACACATCTATTCTCCGAGTTTCGCAAACAGAGACCACCGATCTTCATTGGCGAACCTGATCCAAAAATTGCTGAAAACTGGATCCGGCAAATTGAAAAGATGTTCAACACAATGGGAATAACTGAACACATTGATAGGATTGATCTAGTAGTTTACCAACTTGAAGGGGAAGCAGATCATTGGTGGGCTCTGATTCAGGAATCTAGGGACATCGCCGCAATGACGTGGGTGCAGTTTAAGGAGTTATTTTTGAGGAAGTACTTTCCGAACACGGTCAAACAAGAAAGAATTCGTGAATTTCTGAACCTAGAACAAGGCACGATAACGGTGACCCAATACGTGGCAAAGTTCGAGGAGTTAGCGTGTTATGCGACTCGATATGTAGAAAACGATGAAAACAAAGCACGAAAATTTGAATGGGGTCTAGACCCTACAATTCAAGGAACAGTTTTGCCCATGCGACTTCCCACTTTTGCAGATGTGGTTGACACAGCACTTGATTCAGAACGAGAGGTGTCAGATTCCAAGAGGATTTGGAGTTTGAGGAAACAAAACAATCATTCCAATGTAGGACCCGAAAGAAATAGTCGAAGGCATGCAGCACAGAAGCCGTATTCTAGGGAACTCCAACAACCCCAACAATCGCAGCAGCAAAATCTAAAGGAGACTTTTCAGACAAGGCCAACTGGGTTGATCCAGTGCTATCATTGTCAATAGATGGGACACAGGAGGTTTAAATGCCCCCAATTGGCCGGAAATCGAGGAGAGCGCTCGGGAGCAAATACGCAGGTTATTGGCGGGCAGCAACCATGGGTAACTAACTCAGGAGCTACTAGGCAACAAAATTACAAGGCGAAGAGCAATCAGAAATCTAGACCGGTTAACAAGCAAAGGCCAACAGGTAGAATATTTGCACTGCAAGGAGAAGAAACTGAACATCTCACTAAGCAGTATCTTGAGGAAGAGCAGTACACCACATATGAACCCAAGGAACCACAGTACGAGCCATGGCTAACTTAGGAAAAATATAATTAGGATATTAGTTATAACTCTTTTGACTGACCTTTTGTAAAATATATATAGACGATGTAAATTTCCTTTTCCTTTTGTGAATATAGTTTTAGAACTCTTGAGTACATGCTTTATTCATCATATTCTTTTGTCTTTACTATATGGATGCGTTTGATTTTCAATCTCCAAGGCATGAAGAGGTCCAAATATAAAATCATCTTGGACACAGATTGACTGTTTGTACACTAATCGTGATCGATGGCAACTAGAAGAATGAGATGAGTTACACATTCATTAGGACGCTTTTATTATTTAAGGGGGATAGACCAACTTCCCTGGTTATCACAAATCAACGAACGTAATGACACCAAAAATCGAGGGAACGATCATCAGGATACATTCATAGTGAGTACGTGGACTACCACATCAAAAATTGGCAATAGGGGTTTTCACAATGAAGCAACGACATCATTACCTATACAACTTGGTAGAGACCCTATACAACGGGTAGTTTAAAATTTTTGCGAAAAAAAAATAAATGATTAAAATACGTTGTCAGAATCTACTTGGAAGCACAATGATGCAATGCGGGGAAATTAACCACAACTTTTCGACTACTTCAAATTTCGAGGACGAAATTTGTTTAAGGGGGATAGGTTGTAGAGACCGTAATTTTTGTAATTACCATTAAATCCCTAACCTTCAGTTTATTTCAATAAAGCCCTTGAATTTTCATTTAATTGCGTTTTAAACCCTAGAATCGGAAAGCATCGTGGATTAATTCAAGTAAACCCTAATCGATCCCGGTAGATTAATAATCACCTTTAAAACCATATTATTAATTATTAGACCCTATAATTATAGATTCATCACTTTAAAATCTTAATTCCCGGTAACGTCGTTTTTGCTCGGTTCCCCGCCTTTGTTTGCGCTTTAATTTAACAGGATCCAAATTTTTTATTTTAACTATTTTCTAACGCTAGTATATTGTATGCTAAATGTCAAGGTTTCATAAATTTAGACTTGGTCCCTATATACTTTTATTTTATTTCATTCCAACCCTTAATTGTAATATTTTATTAATTAATGTACTTGTATTATATTACGTTTATAAATACAAATATCTCATACAAATATTATATATATATATATATATATATGTCTTGGAGCCTAAGTTGTTGATCATGTGATGGATGAAAGGACCATAATGGCAACTTTGACAATTTGCACTTACGGATCTTAGTCCCCAAGAAACCTTCCCAGTGTTTTTTCTATATATATAAGCACACTTCTCCCCCTTATGATATACATTTTTAGCCATTCACTAGAGGAGTGAGAGAGAGTGATCTTGGAAAAAAAAAGAGAGAGGGAGAGAATGAGAGAGAAGAGAAGAAGAAAAGGAAGAATTGTGTTGAGTCTTGTACAACAAAGGTAAACATACAACACCTCTTCTCTCAAGTTCTCTTACCACTTGTTTTTCCCCTCCTAATACATGCTCTTTGTATATATATGTTGTAGTCTAGGCCTACACTCTTGTCTAAGTGTGTATTAATCAAGAAATGGTATGCTTCACTTTCTTTCTTAAATTTCCAGCAGCAAATCATTTCCCTCTCTTGAATTTATTTTCCTATCAAAACTCCATAAAATCGAAATCTATTTTTATGGTGCAATATTTGGTATGTCTAGAGTATGTGATAATTTTGGTAGGGCCTAAAGATGTATATTTAACACCTAAACAATTCTTATAAGTTTGTTACTCACTGAACCAGAAAAACAGTCCACTTTCTCTATTTTTATAAAATTCCAGAAAAATAATCTTGAGCCCAATTTTATGTCAAAATCTTAATCTTGGTGTTATATTTTAACTAAAATTTGTTTGAACTCAAGAGAGTGAGGGGTTTGAGAGAAAAACCGATTTGCATAGCGGTCAGCGAATCTGGACAGATCTTGGTAATTCTGAATTATCTTAAAATCTAAAATACCTATCCTACTTTCGTAAATTGAGTTTGAAACTAGACTTATTTATCTACAAACTCACATGAGGCCAGGTACTTAGGGCCAATAAAAGTATTTTTTTTTAAATTATTTTCAAACTGGTTCAAAATCTGAAAATCTGGAAATTTGTGTTAATATGCTCTTATTTGGTTTGCAACTCTTATATTCTATGTTTCTTGAATGCCTTAGTCTTGATATGTAATCTGTGATAAATTGTAAATTTGATTTACCATGAATAAATTACTTGTTGTTCAGTTTGGATTCGTAATTATACTGACCATGCTTTGCTATAACTGAGAACATAATGCACTTAACAACATAATGCACTTAATAAAGGGGAAATCAAATGGGATGGTAATGGGTTGCGATCATTGTATTAAATTTTATGAGATAATGAACTATGAATTCAAGAGTATGATATAGTGGAATGTGTTCCATTTTTGTGAAATCTTGCGCAAGTGTGTTTTCGAACCCTAACATAGCACGGGAGGTATTCTGGCTGCTTAACGGAAATGGGAGGCATAAGGATGGCAGTGAGGGTCTCACACAGGGAGAGTATCCCTGGAAGCCCGTTTCCTTGGGGCAGACCGTGATGTCACCACTTGGGTATGTAACCTAGGTGCGTGGGCATCATTGGTAATTGTGCGGTAAGCGACGCATTGGTATTGTATTAACCAAGGGGGAGTCAGAATTGCCCATGGCCAGAGTTAGTGGTTGGGTAGGAATGGCATTTCGCGGGGAGTTGCCTAGAACTAACTAAAAGTGACTATTATTCATGAGAACTGAAATTTAATTATAAGCTCTGCTTAATTGTTGCTTTCATTGTATGTTATGACCATGCCGTTATGTTCTTGTGTATTTGGAATGGGAAAAGGGTCGGGGTGTGTGTATTTATTGGGCATTCCAAGCTCATGGCGTTTTATGCCAAGTGAAGGCGAGTTTTGCACCAAGAACAGAATCCCTAAAAGCTTTGTGGAACCGTGGCTGCCTTAGAAATTAGATTGTATATTTCCTGTATTTTGGATAATCTTTTTGTATCAAGGAACCGATATGTATTTAAAGACTTGAAGAATTTTATTTGTAACTATTATTAATATTTTATTTTAGTGTAATTATTTGTATTTTGTGCTTAAAAATGATGTGTATCCTCTAGTAAAACCCCGGTGCATCGTTGTATTATATTATCAAAATTTGGGGCGTCATAATTATGCAATTCTTTTTATTTGTGCACATCAATTTTCATCCCATGAGCCTCTTCTGATTCAATCTCCCCATCACTTCAAAAGTTAAGAACAAGACCAACTCTAGTGTGAAAGCATTTTCTAATATGAATTTAATTCTCTTTCTGCATGCCTGGATATCATGGAAATCCCTTCTACCATGCGGGTTAGCTTCAAATAGCGAATGCAGATACAGATGTAAAAAGTATCTGGAATCACACTTATTCCCCGCAGCCAAAAGTTGTGAAACAACTTCAGATGCAGTGATTAAGTCTCTGTGCTGGGTCAACAATGGTACTGCAAGTTTGCAATCTATCATCATCAGTTGGACAACCTACACATTCATAGATTACAAAAGAAAGTATCAATAAAGAAGTTTCAGTGTTCTCTTTGAATTTTTCCTTTCTAGGTAATAGCTGATAATGATTACAATAACAACAGCAGAAACAAAAAGAAAATCAAGAAAATGGGCAATTTCAAGCTTAGATATGATACGAACCAAAAAAAAATCACCCAATGTGGTAACATACACATACCTTTTCATGAAGAGCATCATGTAAGTTATGTTTTTCAAGAAAGTCAAATATATCTAGCTTCATAAGTTGAAGAATAAAAGAAAATTAAATAGTAAGGAAACAACCAAGTTAATGTCAAGAAACTAGTATAGCTAGAGCTTGATTTTGCAAAGCATCATGTGAGTGTATTCAGCAGTGTAACTACTTTAAGCTGTCGCTAGTATTCTGCGTGAACTATGCAGGACTCCATATAGAGCACTTACATCAGCATATAGTGCAAAAGCTTTCTCGTACTGTCCATCAATTACATACAACTCTGCTAGTGCCTGACATGGTAAAGTAATTCATAATGGAAAAGATGTAATAATAACCAAAATTCGTAATCAATATCAAGATAACAATGTTCATACCGACCTCTCCTAGTGCATCAGTCATGGATGAAGTATTAAGCTGAGGTTCTATGGCTGAGATAACAGGCAAGGCATAATAAATTATAGGCGGCCAAGATTTGACAATTGACAAGAGATCCTTGTGAAAAGATGGATTTGTTGTCAAAGCAACAAGAGCTACCTGTAGATGATTAACAAAAACTGCTAAGACCTTTATTTCCAATTTAGCAAGTCCAAAGAACATATGAAGTATCAAATTAAGTTTTCAACAAATGTCAAATATTGCATACCTCATAAGCAGTATCACGTAACCTTGGGTTTTCAGTTGGTATGTATGGAACCAATACAGGAAGCTGACGAAGATGAGCAAAGTGGAAAGCCCATCTGTGAGAAATAACCCACTGCTAGTTATTAAAAATAAATTTACGGAGAGTCATACTTAGTATTTAGTACCTCTCCCATGCAGAAGTCGATCCTCGCAACAATTTGGGACATAGTGATGCGGCTTCAGTATATTTCCTGTCCACAATCAAATGATCAAGATAGCTAGTCCCCACCTGCATACATAGTGGACAAATTGAAAATGTATTACTACCGATACTATAATATAATATGGAACTGTGGAAGGTAATACATAGAAAAGTTTAGTTATTGTCCACATGTACAGGAAAAAGATTTTGCAAGTGAAACAATCAAAACTGACAACAGGAGACAGTGAAAACAACCATACTATGGCTGCCAAAATGACTGTCTGCACGTCATAAATGGAAATGGCATATATAACCAATTGTCGGGGACTAGGCACCATCTTTTATCTAGAAAATGACTAGATTTTAATTTTAACCACCTTATACTTCGGTGGAGTTGGAATCCCTAATGTGGCTCTTTTATTTTTTAGAAGCACAATGCCCTTAAAAGGCTTTAATTTGGAGCCACAGAAGAGACATGAATTTTGCTTCGTAAAGTTTTGGAGCATTGAATTATTTATGCTATGGAGGGATTTCATTTGGTTGATCATTTCTTGGCTTTGTTGCCGAATAAGTATTTAGGCCATAAAGGCAATTGTTTTGAATTTCCAAATGTTAGCATTTGGGGCATAAAAGCCATTATTTTGAATTTTGAAATGTTGGGCCTTAGACAAGTATCCAGTGCATTGCATTGAGCGAAGAAATATGATCTTTTGCATCCCTAGCAATCAACAAGAAATTGCATTTGTAAATCAACAGAGTTTGTGATTTTTAATATGGCATAGGAGATGATATAATGGCAAAACAAACAATGCGAGCAGTAAAGGAATCAAAATTATGCTTTTAAATCCCACAATTTTTTCTATCAAGGTGAATTAAAATTTAAAGCATTCCATTTTCAGGCAATTAACTCACCATATCAAGATGACATACACTTAAATTCATTAAATAAAAAATTCATTGAACTCACTAAAACTAATGGATGAATTCTACACTTGTTTGCTCAAGCACCCCCCAACCAACTGGGACACCTATCTGCTCATGCACCTTCTTAATTTGTTTCACCATTTTCTTATTTTTCAATAAGAACTTCCCGATTTTTTTCACTTCTATCTACCTTCTCACAAACTTGAAGTATTCAGATTTAGATATCCATAAATGGTGAGGAGCCTATGCTTGATTGGAATTCTAAAGATACTGTATTTGGTAAGTAGACATATGAAAAAGATGAGAAGCGGGGGGAGAACTTTAAACAGATAACTCCTAATGTTTGCATAATAATCATCTCATGAACTAAACTTGACAGATAGCATTAAGCAATGATTGGATTCACAAGTGCGAAAAAAGTGTCTTCTTACTTTATAGATAAGATAGCATATAGATTGATATAATTAACGATAATGCTAAAAACAGCCCTTAGGGCTGTTATTAGTGTTGAAAACTGTGTAAAGTGTATTGAAATATGTAAAAAGTGAAAAAAAAATATAAAGATATTTTGGATATTTGAAAAGTGTATTCGGATTATAAATATTCTGGCCTTTTGTGCTGTAATTAATTATCAATAGGAAAATTACATACTGACATTCTATTAATATAGAAACTAAGGAAAGATAAAATTGAACTAACCTAGGTTTTGCAATAACTACATCCTGTGGGGATACAATATAGTATAATGGCTCACCACCAGCAGCCCACTGCCCACCTGCATAGCTGCTACCTACATAAAAATGCATAAGTATTACCACTGTTTGAATGCAAATTCATAAACTCTTGGACACTTTTACCTGAGAATGGAGCATGAGCAAGGGTATAGTCCTTTGCCTTGTAGTGCTCAAAGCCATGGGCAGGTAGTGCATCTGTTGCACGCTCATCATTGTTCCATGTGACTACACGCACTTCCGGTCTCTCAGTATTTCCCTGCTTACAACAAATTTCTACATCTTAACACTTATCATGTAAACTACTAACTTCTACATATCTATATTTATATAGAAATATGACAGTGTTCTAGTATTATAGAATAAATTGAATAAAGTAATAGAATTGAACCATAAAGGTTATTAGAGGCTTAGACAACAGAATAGTCCATGATTCAAAGGGTCAATGAAGGGCAATATGCAGTGTCATAGAAAAGAAAAAAAAGTTGTCACAAGAATATTTTGAGGCATAAAAGGATTGTAGAAATCATAATACTAAATAGCTCTGAATAATTAATGGATGAAAAGCACAGAAAATTACTTCGTGAAGAGGAATAAGGATAGATAAAACAATCACACAAAAAATTAGCATTCCATGGGCAGAGATGCTGAAAGAAAATAGACATATCAACAAAATATAGCTTATAAACATCTCAAAAAAAAAAAAAAAACGTAACAATAATGAACTCAATCAAATATCCTATTACTTTATCTACAATCTTCACATCCTTCGAGCTTACTCTAAGATGAGTTTTGGCCTCTCTTCTTTCTGAAGACAAATGTAATAAATAAATAAAAATAATAATCAAATCCCCTAGTTAACAGAAGCATTTAAAAAGGTAAGGTTAATTAATTAAACAATCAGGAAAGCCAATGGATTAAATCTTGGTTCAATACACAAGCCAATAAAAAAAATTCATATAAAGAATTCAATTTCCAGAACAATGGCCTTAATTGGATTTACAAAAAGAGAAAAAAAATTCACATACAAAGAAAGATGAACATTGGTTGCTGAAGTTATATATATATATATATATTATATGTATCTAGAGCATATACACTAGAGAGAGAGCAGCGGACGAAACTATTACACAGAGAGAGCATTAAGAGAGAGAGACTAACAGCGGTGGTGGTGAGCCGATCGGCATAGCAGCGGCAGTGAGGAAAGGAGAGGCTAACGATCGGCAGCAAGGGAAGCAGAAACCAACGGCGAGGGTGAGGAAAGGCTATCGGCGGTGAGCCGATCGGTGAATCGATGAAATGTTAGCAGCGGCGGTGAGGAAACTTAGTCCCGTGAATGAGTGTAAGATGTGTGAAATTAGGTTTGATGGAGAAATTATTTTGTGTGTGTGTGTGTGTGTGTGTGTGTGTGTGTGAGGTCTATGTGTATAACCAAGCATAACAGGTTTTTTTTTTTTTTTTTTTTTTAAGAAGAACAGATCTGCTTCCATAGACGCCAATGTATTTTCGTTTCCCTCTAAAATATTTAGCAGCCAAATCATTTATTGGTGACAAAATTATTTCTTCACCAAAGATAAAAATATTGGCCACAAAAATAGTTTTGTCACTAAATGATATTAAAATATTAAAAATTATTGGTGACAAAAATATATTCGTCATTAATAATTTTATAATTGGTGACCAATTGTTTCGTCACCAAAAGTCTCAAAATTTTGATACCCTCCGAAAAAATAGCTGGGAAATCTTCCGTGACAAAAAAAATATAAATAATGACGAAAAATAATTTTGTCACCTAATTTTTTTATTATGTATTTGGATTGGTGACGAAATTTTATTTTTGTCTCTAAAAATGGTACATTTGGAGATGAAAGATTATTTTCGTTATTAAAAGATACATATTTTGTGATAAAATTTATTTTTGTCATTAGTTTTCGTCTCCAAAGACTATTTTTGTTGTAGTGAGTACATACATGAAAGTAGTTTTCATGTATGGTACCTAAAAACATATGCACCATTGGATTTGGATATGATGAATTCCTAACCATTAGATGTATTATGACTAAAAATAGATAGGAAATTAAGGTGGTTTCTCAAAAGGTAAAGTAGTTTTAGTTAATTTAAGAATGAACAAATAGATCTAACTTACTATTTATTACAAACATATTTACTATTTCTCATTAACTCACTTACTACTTGTTATAAATAAATTTAGTATTTGAATATAAATAAAATACAACTCAACAATATTACCTGTTAATTAGGTCACATTTTTTGTCTCAAAAGTTGTGGTCTCTTTTGTATTATAAATTAATTTTAAATACATGAAACTAATGACACACTATTTATAACTATTTTCCCTTTACATTTAGTCTTTTTTGTAAGGAGTGATGCAACACTTACCACCTATGTATATCACTTTTAATATATCAACTTGAAAATCTAAGTGATTCGTGATTAGATCAAGATTAAAATATTCCAAATCCCAAAAATCCAAAACACACAATCTAAATCAACAAGCACTTACGAAAGTGATTTAGATTGTTTGTTTTGTCAGATTAAATAATAAATCGACACAAAAGATTTTTACGTGGAAAAAACCACAATTGGACACCTCCAACTGTGATTAAAAAACCACGGGCGAAACGCCATAAATCAATCCACTACTGAAGTAAAAAGATTACAAAGATAGCTTACAAATTACCCAACTTAGTCAATCTGTCTCCGAATCTTCTGTAACTCTTTTTCACGACTTCATCTCGGAACTGATCAATCTTGAAGTTGATTCCACAACCTCACCCACATATAGAATCAAACACCTTTCGAAACTATATGCTAGAATCTTCGGAATCCACCGAAGAGAACTCTCTCTTGAACATAAAGAAACCAACTCCTTGATGTATGTATTTTAGATCCTGAGTGAAGAACTCTTCTCAAGACATCAAGAAATACTCTCAAAAATCTCCCAAGAAGACTTTAAACTCAACCCTAGTTTGTTTTGATCAGATCTAAAAAAACGTGTCCAACAAAACAACGTTAGCAGCTTTAAATAAGAATCTGCAACCGCGATCTCCGCTCGAGCTCAACATAGCCCGCTCGAGCGGACTGAACAAAAACTGCATACGAAGAAACAGAGCTGCGCTCGAGCGTAGGAGTTTCCGCTCGAGCGTCAAATCACACCTTCCAGAATCTGTGCTTGCCCTGTCAAACTACTGTGACCTGCTAATCTACGCTCGAGCTCAAGAGTCTCCGCTCGAGCGGACAGTACAAAAACAGAAAAACACAGTTTTGAACCAACATAAGATTTTGTCTCCGGATTTGACAACACAGGGACCTAACACAACTCATGTGTCAGTACTGCATTGAAGATAAACATTAGTAGTGGAATACATTACACCAATGATATGTTGACACATACGGTAGTACATTAAAAGTCATATAAACTAGTGATAAGTATATTATTAGTCTTTTGTGAGTTGTAGAAAGTAAAATATGGCATGTGAATATTAATTTATTAAAATTTGTTACTAATTTACCAAATTTTATAAAGTCATTATTGTGAAAAAATTACTTTTCAAAATAATATTAAAAATAAATAAAACAAGTACAAATAAATTGTAAACTATTTTCTTTTAAAATGTAAATTATTTAAACTTATTTTTTGTAAAAATTAATTTAAAAGAAGTATCTTTTTTTTTAACCAACGACACCTCAAGGCATTAATTACTATTTAAGAATTTGAGATCCATATTTTGTTTTATTACTCATAAATTTTGTATGTTTTATATAACTTATATGAATTTCATAATCAAATCTTTTAGAAATTTTTATAAATTCATAACGTTTTATCAATTTAATATCTACCATAAAATGAGTTTTTCCCCTATAAAATTCAGATAATTGGCAATGAATATACTTTTACAAATTTAATATCTACAATATTTTAAATCATAAATGAAAAATTAAAAAAAATATAAACCTAGGAAAACTTTTCATTTGTCAACATTTTTATTAATGGCAATAAATAAATACATGTACAAGAATTACATTTCTTTACCCACTGTACTTAAAAATAGTAATTGCTATATAAGAAGATAGTTAATTAGGAGAATATAGAAGACCTCACAACTCATTTACAAACACTATGAACAATATTGGGTCTTGCTTTTGATTTTTGTAACAAATGATATGTGAAAGAGGGTAATTTTAATTTTTACAAATTCAAAAAATTATTGAGGTAAGAATTTATCTATATCTCAGTCTCTATCTCTATCAGTGTTTTATTTTGACATGATGTGATATTTTTAATTTATGAAATTTAAGATTTTGTTGGAATAGCATTTCACCTAGTTAAAGAAAAATCATTCAATATCATGTAGAGTTTCATTAAGCAGTAAGTCGCGTTTAATGAAATAGTAAGTGGAGTTTCATTGAGTAGTAAGTCAAATTTAATGAAACAGCAAGTGAAATCTCATTGAGTAATAACTCAAGTCTAATAAAATAGTAAGTGTGATCTCATTGAGTAGCAAATGAAGTCTAATAAAATAGTAAGTGAATTCTTATTGAGTAGTAAGTCAATCTACTTACTATGAAATAGTAAGTGTAGTTTTATTGAACAGTCAATGGTATTTAATTGAGTAATAGTCAAATTTAATAAAGCATTAAGTAGAGTCTCATTGAGTAATAAGTATAGTCTAATTGAGTAGTAAGTGAAATTTATTGAAATAGGAGGTTAAGTCTAATAAAATAGTAAGTGGAGTCTCATTGAGTCGTAAGTCAACTCTAATAAAATAGTAAATGGAGTTTCATATTTAAGAAAGTGAAGTCTAATGAAATTATAAGTAGAGTCTTATTGAGTGGTAAGTGAAATCTACTTATAATAAAGTAGTAAGTGAAATTTTATTGAATAACAAATCAAGTCTAATGTAATAGTAAGTAGAGTTTGATTGCGTAGTAAATGGAAATTTATTGAGTAATAACTAAAATCTAATGGAGTAGTAAGTAAAAATTCATTAAATAGTAAGTCAAGTTTAATTAAGTAGTAAGTAAAATAGAATGAAGTAGTAATGAAAGCTAATTGAATGGTAAGTAAAGTCTTACTCAATAGTAAGTAGAAACTCATTAATAGTAAGTAGGGTTTAAATGAGTAATAAGTGAAGTCCAATCAAATTATAAGTGGAACTGAGTAATAACTCTAGTCTATTTATCATGATGTAGTAAGTAGTAAGTCAAGTCTATTGGAGTAGTAAATGGAGTTTATTTAAGTAGTATAACTAAAGTTTAATACAGTAGTAAGTGAAAACTCATTGAGTAATAAGTGAATTCTAGTGAAATAGTATGTAGAAGCTAATTAAATAGTATGTGGAAGATTATTGAGTAGTAAATTTAATTTAGTAAGTAAAATCTAATAAAATAGTAAGTAAAAACTCATTGAGTAATAAGTGAAGGATAATGAAGTAATTTTCAATTTCTTGTGACGTCATGATATTTTAACCCATTTTATAATTATCAATCTTTTATTAATTTTCAATTTCATAATATGAAGTAAGAGCTAAAGAACTCTTCACGAAAACGCAATCCAATTAGTGAAAATCATCTTTACGTGGGCTTTGCTTTTTACAAGAGATTTAGGCTTGATTATTGGTGAGAAGAGAGATTTCTAAAAGGAGAAAGTTGGGGTTTTTCAGAGCTAGGGAGAGGAAGAGGAAAGAGGAAAAGAAAAGTAAGAAAAAAGAGCAAAAAGTAACTTTTTAAATTTGTTGATTTGCCTAGACTGCTTGAGCGGTAAACTCAAACTCTCAGCATTTCGGTCTGTAGAGCAAAGCACTGGTTGTTTCATTTTCACTGCTCAAACGGTAAAACCAACCGCTTGAGCGATCACCCTGGAAATAGATTGTCACACAGTCTTAGTTCCTAAGGCACTCCTTGCACAACCATTTAATTTGTATTCCATTTACTTAAGTTTACAATGTAAATAAGGAAATACCCCCATTTGGATCTAAAGAAAAATATTTTTTAAAAAAAAATCAAAATC